TTGTTGCTGCCAAAAAAGAAGAGGTCTTCGCCGTCGACGAGAGCCTGAAGGTTGGCACAGCCAGTGGGGTGGTTTTGTTGGATAGCGTGATCGTCGTCGTCGGAGTCGTCGCCGTCAGGTGCTGCCGTGTTGTCCAGGGCGGCGAGGCGCCGTTCGCCGATGATCGAGTTGTACAAGTCAAAGGGACTATTGCCCTCGTGGTCCTTGGTCTTGATCAGCTGGCCGATACGGCCCACGGGCGCACCCAGGGTCTGGCCAGCAATGTCCTTGCGCTCCTTCAGGAGGAGCAGCCGTGCGATGGAAATGTTGCCGGCATAGAGGGCGCGGTGCAGCGCATTCCAGCCGCTTTCTGGGTCTTGTACATAGATGTCGATCGCGGGGTGTTCGAGAAGCGCTTCGACGAAAAGAACGCCGGTTTCGGACGTAGATGCGGCAGCACGAAGGAGGAGAGTCAAGCCGGCATGGTCCCGGCTGTTGATCTCAGCCTTGCCAATGCTGCCACCACCGCCAGCCCCCGACTTGGCCGGACCAAAACCCGCACCGAAGCCGGAAGCTTTGCGTGGCTTGCCGGCAGGAACCCTTGGCGACGTCCCGTGGGGGCTGCTTCCAGCATCCCCGGAGCCACTAGGGCCCCCACCACCACCTCCGGCGCTGCCGCCGCCGCTGGCGGCGCCTGCGTTCGCGTTCCAAACAGCAGCTGCCTGGGCAGTGTGGCCCGTCAGGGCGAGCAGGCGTCGAAAGCGCTCGACATTGTCTGCAATGTAGCACGACCAGAGTTGACTCATTTAGGCACAAACACAGTGCACCGGGGGTTGCAAAGACTGGAATCTCTGCAAGCCCCTCCTCTCCTGCTTCAGAAGCGCACCTCGCTGTGATTCTCAGGGACCACGGCGTATTTAAAGGCGCGAGAAGGAAGCGAGTTGAGAAGGACCTGCAACAGCTGACGTGCGGTCGGTGTGAATGTCGATAGATGGCGAGCTAGTAAGTTTGCCGGATGTTGAGCACGTTTGCCTCGTGGCGTTGAGAGAGAACAAAAAAAACCAGTGGATCGGATACAGATGCGCCACGCAAGGCTGTCGGCGACAGGAGCCAAGATAAAAGCAACGATCTGGTCTGGAGGGCGTTCGAAAGGTTGGCAGACGATGGATGCGTCTCACAGGTTACGGGCAGGTCGATGCGAGCAGGACGGGATATATCGTTCCTCGGCTTCAAGTTGGTTCGATCCGTTATGTCCGGGAAAGGACGAGGACGGTATTGAGGTGTGTGCCGTCGACGAGCGAGGGGATATAAGAGTCGACCGTGTCGAGTTGAAAGACGGTACAGTTGATCAGGGGAGAGGAAGCGGTCGAAGGGTGGCGTCGGCGGCAGTGTGGTCGGCGCAGAGGGGGATGTCGAGTCTTTAAGTGTTTTTTAATGAGGTCAGAATGAGCCAGAGGCAAAATAACAACAAAATAGTGTCTTAAATTAATGTGTGTGTGACGCGCCTGCCACGATTGGTAGTGAAATCAACCCGATAAGTTCCAGTGAAAGGAAGGAGCGATTCGAGCTGGCAGCCAATCAAAGCGGCAGGTGCGCCGGGTTAGGGTCCCCAGAGGCTCAAAAGCTTCCTTTCAAGGACAAACGCCGCGGCCCTAAAGTGCAACGGGAACACGCCAGACACGCCGCGAAAGAGCGCTTGTTTGCGGATGCGTCGTCATTGGTGAACACGAGCCATGCCAGTCAGATGCCACGCGCTTTGTTAAGTCTTGTTTATGATGTTGTGCATGACCTACGATCGGGCATTGTGGGCACCCAAGAGGTCGTTTCACGTGTGTCTTCTTGCCGAGTGTGATATGCGCCGGTCGCGACTGCCTCGTCCTTGTGCGCAAGCCGTCGCGGTGAGATCAGGCCCTACGTTTGGCGGGGAAGGAGCAGGGCTGGGGGCCTGGGCCCGAGCCCTGATCGCGCTTTCTGCACAACATGTTCCACCCCGCCGGCGCGCGTCTCGTTCAGTGCTGCATGCTCTTAAATGCACTGACGGATTAGTCATTTATACGGGCCACTCCTGCCTTGTGCAACATCCCACCAAATTCTGAACAGGAAGTAGGCATACTGACTTGCACTGGGCTCTTGCCTTCCAGGAAAATGTTGTCCTGCAAGTTTTGTGAAAAAGCTTTCAAAACGAGCAGGATCAAGCTTCAAGAGTCGCAGCAACGGAAGTCGTAGGTAGCGACAGCGTCCAACTGCGATTGCTGCAAAGCTTGGCTTCTCTGCTACAAGCGGCAAGTGCGCTTGGCGGTCTTCACAGTGCCGTTGATGCCGGTTGTCGCGCCTGCCAGTTGATGTCCAAACCGGGGGATAGAAGGAAAGAGCGGCCGCACGCGAGACCTGCTAAGGACTACGAAATACCGATACCGGGTTCTTCCTATTCTGTGTTCCAGCGCTCTTCGCCGCCCCAGCGCCCACTATGCTCGACCCCCACCCCCAAGACTGCACCCGCACTCCTCTACACAAGAAACCGCGCAATTGCACGCCATGAGTCCGCCGATCGCGCACGGTAAAAGAGCGTCTCGTGCGCCTCCGCTGTGGGGATAGCAAAGGTACCACAGGGGACGAATTATCGATAGCTTACACTGCGGGCTTCAACAGCGGCTTTTCGCGGCGGTTCGCACTTGCCTTGCCAAACATGGGGTGGTTCCTTCTCCATTTTCGCTTTTTCCCGCATTTTCCTATTTTTTTTTTGTGAACCCCATAATTTTTTTTCCTCTTTCCGTTCTGGAGTCCGATACACGTACGGGGCATTTGGCTTGACGCCAAACCATACTTTTTGGCGCAAATCATATCGTCTGGCCGTCCCCTCCTTTTACTCACCTCTGTTTTCCTACGCCGTTCTTGTTTTCTCATCCAGCGTGCCTGGCTCCCTTGGATAGAATCTTTGTCGTGTTTGCTCGCCTCACCCGTCTACCCGTCGCCGGCTCCTCCGTCCTCCGTCCTCCGCCGTCGCCCTCGCCCCTCTTCGGCCTTCTTCTCCGAGATCCGTCACGATGTCTGACCAGCCTCTTCCCTTTGTTTACCAGTTCGCCGCTGGGTATGTTTGCCAATTAGTTCAGAGACTGCGTTTTGTTGCTATTGTTGTTTGGTTATGTTGCCATTGTCCGGCGCTGGATGCTCGCGATCGCCTCTGGGGCTGTCTCGGGGTATCTTGCGCCGGAGGCGATCGGAAAGATGTCCGTTGCTAACCGATCGTGTGTCCAGTGCGGTTGCCGGCGTTTCTGAGGTGTGTAGCAAGCGACCTGTTCCCGGCGGCTTGTTCGGGCGTGCCCGCAGTCCTACGAGAAGGACACTGACATGGTGCTGCCAATAGATCCTTGTCATGTACCCGCTGGATGTCGTCAGTACGTTTTGTCTGCTGTTCCTTGTTCCCCTTTGCCTGCCGATTCCGAGTCACGCCCGAGCCCTGCTAACCTTACCTTTTCCCTGTACAGAGACCCGAGTGTACGTCGAACACGGTCCTTTCTGGAGACGATATGGAGGCCAGCGACAGGAGGCATTGAAGATGCTGAGATACTGACCACATTGCAGCCAACTTCAGACCGGCAAGGGCACTGGCGCCGATTCGTACAATGGCATGGTCGACTGCTTCCGGAAGATCATCAAGCACGAAGGGTAGGTCGTGCCGACGAGACATTCGAGCCAGGGATTTTCATTCTCGGACTGACCGCTGACTCTTCGGTTGCAGCTTCTCGAGACTATACCGTGGTATCTCTGCCCCGATCATGATGGAGGCGCCCAAGCGTGCCACCAAGTTTGCTGCCAACGACGAGTGGGGCAAGTTCTACCGCAAGGCCTTTGGCCAGGAGAAGATGACCCAGAGCCTGAGTGTCCTGACCGGCGCCACGGCCGGTGCCACTGAGAGTTTTGTGTAAGTGTTTGGGTGGTCTGAAGATCCACAGTCCTGAAGGGCTGAAGAGCAGAAGCAAAGTCCCGTGCGCGGCCTAACTGTCCCTTCCAGCGTCGTTCCTTTCGAGCTCGTCAAGATTCGTCTCCAGGACAAGGCCTCGGCCGGCAAGTACAACGGCATGATCGACGTCGTTGCCAAGACGATCCGCAACGAGGGCGTGCTCGCCATGTACCAGGGTCTTGAGAGCACCATGTGGCGCCACATCCTGTGGAACGCCGGCTACTTTGGCTGCATCTTCCAGGTGCGCCAGCTAATGCCCAAGGCCAGCAGCAAGCAGTCCCAGATGCTCAACGACATTATTGCCGGCTCGGTCGGCGGTACGGTCGGTACGCTCCTGAACACGCCCATGGACGTCGTCAAGAGCCGTATTCAGAACGAGACTCGGGTGCCTGGTGTTGTGTCCAAGTACAACTGGGCTTGGCCGGCCGTCGGCACCGTCCTGAAGGAGGAGGGCTTCGGTGCGCTCTACAAGGGTTTCCTGCCCAAGGTGCTGCGTCTTGGCCCCGGCGGTACGTATTTTTGCCTTTGCTGTCTATATCTGCCTGCTCTCTTTACCTTCTTCTTTCGACACTTCATACTGACAGCGCCTCTAGGTGGTATCCTCCTGGTCGTCTTCCAAGGCACAATGGACTTCTTCCGCAAGTTCAGAGACGGCAAGGCATAGATGGAGACGAGAGGGTTCGTCTCCTCAGCTTTTCCTCGTTTCTTTGTCTTTTTGGTTTCCGGTTTTTGGTTTTTGGTTGTTTGTTTGGGTTTTTGGACGAGGCACACGTCGCACAAAATACAGGTTCTTCCCCTACACTGGGTTGGCCGTTTACTTTTTGCGTCTCTTACATTTTTGGTTACATGGCATGCATTGGTTTTTCTGCCTTCCCATTGTTCTTTCTTATCGATTATCCATAGAGAGCATATTTTAGACGAAAGAGAAGACGAGCCGCACACGTCCACCGACAACGCAAGAAGCAGACAAAGAGCCAAAAAGACAAAATATGTACAGAAACAAAGTTCCTACATTGTACCATTACATGTTTTCATTATCAGAACACAGCGTGTCCCATTTTCATCGAAACCACCAGTTGACTGAAGAGTTGAGCCGCCCATCGCCGTGCGCGCTCTGCACGCTATGCCACCATCCTTTGGGGATAAACAGCATGTCGCCCGCGTCCAGCTGCGCCTCGTGCATCGTCCCAGCGCCGCGTGCCCCGTCCTCTCCCCACACGACAGCGTGCAGCAGCTCCCGCTCCGGCCCTTGCATCATCTCCTCGCCCCGGATGCGCGACGACACGCGGTGCGCCGACGTCTGCCGCCTCTTGATCAGCTCCGTCTGCACGGCCCGAAAGATGCCCTCACCGCCGGCCGGTGCCATCAGGCGCACCGTCTTGCTGCTGGCAAGCTGGCAAAACAAGTTCGGGTTGGGGTCGCGGTGCCAGGGCGTATAGGTGGGCTCGAGGCCCCACCACAGGCTGGCGTCGTAGACATCGCCACGGCCGGCGTGCTGCACGAGGTCGGGCGCCGGAACGTCGTCCCGCAGCGAGGGCGGCAGTTCGGCGAGCGATGCCTGGGCAATGTACAGCTGCGTGAGTGTCCTGTGGGATGACAATGACCCCGTCGAGGATGCCATCGAGCACGAGGACGGCCCCAAGCTGCTGTAGTTGTATTCGACGGCCGCCAAAAACAGGGCGAGCGGTGCCTTCAGTCGGATGAGTCGCGGCACGTCGCCGTCATGGGCCGGAAGGGCCGCGACGTAGTGCGTCAGAAGCTCGGCCAAGCCAGCACGAACAAATTTTGTCGTCGTCGTCGTCGACGATGTCTCTGAAGCTGCCGATTCGCCCGAGGCAAGCCATGCATGGAAATTGGCGAGAGCTTGCCTTCCTCCAGGATGTGGCGGGTACATCAGCTCGTACGGCAGCTGTGTCATGGCAAACTGCTCGAGATACGGTGCCAGCCGCAGAGACGGGCCGGCTTCGCCTTTGAACCAGCGGCGAGTCGCCGGCAGCAGTCGTCGCGTGTTGCGGTGGCTGCTGTTGCTGGCCTTGATGACAAGCGGCCGCTCCTTTCGAAACGCCCGCTCTCGAAACATTTCCACGTCCAGGTCTGCAGTGTCGACCACGGCGACGGACTGCACGACACGGCCGTCGCCTGCCGTTGTGGAGCTGCCGCTATAAGGACGACAATGCGGTCTGATTTTGATCCATGGCGAGAGGGTGCAGGCGGGACGGAGAACAGGGCACAAGTCAAGCCTCCTCAGTGGCAGCATGAGTATAATCCGGCCTTGCGACGTAGCGAGACGCAGCCGTGAAGCAGAGCGTTGGTGTTGAAGGGATATAGACGTGTTTTGGAGGGTATCCGTCAAGTACGGCGTACTACGAGTACAACTATCGCCATATCGTTTAGTTGCATACTATGCACTTACACGGTTTTCATCGACCCCAAATTCACACTACAAAAGCACGTCACGTAGCACGCAGACGGTGAAGTGCTAGATCATTAATAAAAACAATACATGGCTTTTTCTATCTTTTTAAATTTTCCACGATTTCCACAATGGCCCAACCGTTTTGCAGTGTTCGCAACAAGACAAGCAAAATACCGAGGAAGAGTAAAGAGGAAAGGGGCCAAATGAAGAGGTCGTCCCGAAACGGCCCTGATATAAACACAGTGAGGGAAAGAGGAAAAAGGAAAGGGAAACGGGGAAACGGCATGAGACGACAAAATTCAAAGGAAATAAAAAATAAAATAAAATAAATGCACAGCCAGAACATACTCCTCCCATAAAATGCATGTGGCATACAAAATGGGCAAAACATCAACACATCGGTTCCGTTCCCCACGGTCCACCGTCCATGGTCCCACGCTCACCGTCCACCATTTTGCTGCATCTTGAGAATCTCGTTTTGGTAGCGCATCTTGAAGCCGTTGGTGAGGGCGCGCATGTCGGGGTAGGCGACCTTGAGCATCTCGAAGCCCTTGGGGATGACGCGGACCGGCCAGAAGTTGACGCGCGTGTTGCGGTTGACCTTGAAGCACAAGAAGAAGTAGCCGGGATGCTTGGTGTCGGTGCAAAAGGCGTACGACGACCGGTTGGGGTTGGCGTCCATGTAGGTGGTAAGCCATTTTTCTGGGGGTGGTTAGCAAGAATTGGAACAGAAAGCGGCAGTACAGGAGTACAGCACGACAGGAGACAGCGTTCGCTGTCGGTCCCAGAGGCAAACTCACCTGTATCGGCACGGGTACCGGGCTGGAACTTTTCGTTGCGCGTCATCTCGCCGACCTTCTTGGCCATGGCCTTGACGTGCTCGACAATCAGCTCGTCGAGGTCCGTGTACGAGTACTTGCCGCCAATGCGCAGCAGCCGGCCGACGGAGAACTCGTTGTCCTTTTGCAGCTCCAGCACGTCAATGTGCTCGTAGACGCCGTCGGCGACCTTCCACGTCACGACGAGGTGGTCGTTGCCGCGCGACGACGGGCGGATGACCATGTCGCCGACGGCCTGCGAGCCCAGGTACTCCTCGGCCTGCGTGGCGTTGAAGGGCCGGAACAGCGGGTGCTTGATGACGCGCTGCGTGCGGCCCGTGGTCTTGTCCTTTTCCTTGAGGTCCTCGCGGTCCTGGTCTTCCTGGCGGAAGTCCCACGTGCCGCGCTCGTGGTCCACAAACTTGCGGAAGGGCCGCCTCAGCGCGTCTTCGCGCACCGACAGCTTGCTGATAAAGTCCTTGCGGTTGAGCTCGAGCAGCTTGGCCTGCGCCGTCTGGCCGACGCGCAGGGCGTCACGCAGGCCGCTGCCGCCGCCGCGCGACGACAGCGGCGCCTCGTGCGCCTCGATGCGGCCCTCCATGCCGCAGTCCAGCTTCACAATGGCAAAGTCGTCCTTGACCACGCGCACGTAGACGGGGACGATCATGCCCTCGCACAGCGAGTCCTTGGTCTCGCCCGTGAACATGGTGAAGACGACGTCCGGCGGCAGCGTCATAAACTTGTGCCGCAGCTCTTCATAGGGGGCCTGCAGCTCGGCGCGGATCGTCTCAAGCGTCGCGCGCTTGCGCTGGTTGTACTTCATCACCAGCTGCTCGGCGTATTCCTCGAGGATCAGCTCGTTGACCTTTTCCTGCTCCTCCTCCTTGAAGAGCTTGCGCACGATGGCGCCGGGGCCGTTGTCGTCGACCTCGGCCTTGACGTCCTCCTCGTCGAGCTCGAGCGCGTCCGCCGCCATCTTGCGGCCCAGCTCGTAGTCTTCGGGGTGCACGCGCGTGTTGTCGAGCGGGTCGGACAGCAAGTTGGAGCTGTCGTACTCAATGTACAGGAAGCTGGCGCAGTTGTTCCAGACGCGCGGGCCCACGACGGCCAGCTTTCCGCTGTCCGGGTCGCCGACCAGCTCGTCGCGCGACGTCACCGAGCCGCCGTTGGCGTTGATGCCCTTGATGACGGCCGTGGCCTTGCGCGGGCCCAGGCCGGACACGTACGGCAGCAGGTTGGCGGTGTAGGCGTCGCTGACGGCCTCGTTGATGTCGACGCCGCAGAGGTTGACCATGTCGACCATGGCGGACTCGAGGGCCTTGGCCAGGCGCTCGGCGGGCAGCAGGTGCTGGCACGGGTGGAAGACGAGCGACTGCACGTCCTTGCCGAGGGCGGCGTACTCCTTCATGGGGTTCTGCAGGTAGCGGGCGAGGGCGACGCAGTAGCGCAGCATGGAGTTGAGGGACGGGTGCTCGGCGACGGCGCGCGGGCTGTCCTTGTAGAGGCGGGCGACCTCGTCGTTGACGATGACGACCTCGAGCAGATCGCTGCGGTAGTCGTTGGTCTCGGGGTCGTCGTACTCGGGGCCCATGAGGCCCTTTTCGCTGATGAGGCTCTCGAGGTCTTTGAGGAGCTTGTGCGTGTCAGCCGAGAAGCCGCTGACGCCGACGACGTCGGGCCGCCGGCGCTTGACGACCTCGGCAAAGGCATCCCGCTGCGCCTCGTCGCGGGCCAGGTTGCCGAAGCGGCCGTGCTCGAGCACGCGACCGTCCTCCTCAACCCAGGTCCAAAACACGGGCTCGCGCGACGGGTCGCCCCTGCCGTTGGACAGCGTCAGGACGCGGGGCGGCGTGCCGAGCACGAGGCCCTTGGGCTTGAAGGGCGCCTGGTCGAGGCGCTTGGAGTACTCGTCGCGGCAGGACTTGAGGACCTCGTCTTGGCAAGCGGTGCGCAGCGAGTCCTTGACGCCCTTGGCGATGATCTTGTCGAGCTTGGGGAAGGCCAGGTCGAGCACCTTTTGGCGCTCGTCGTTCCAGGCGTCGGCGAGCTCGCTGAAGTTGTCCGAGGCGAACTCGGTGTAGAGCTGGCGGCGGAACTCGCGCTCGTTCTGCAGGACCAGGCGGACCTCGACCAGCCCGTCCTCCTCGGCCCTCATCATTTTCAGGAACACGTCCGGGCGGCGCGCCATGTCGGCGAGGGTCTGGTTGATGAGGTACTTGATCTCGTAAAAGGGGTGGGCCTCGTCGATGCGGCGCAGGCCCTTGTCGGTGCGGTGGCAGCTGACCAGGCCGTTCTGGTAGTAGGCGACGCGGAAGTGCTTGCGCAGGCGCGGGCTTACGTAGAGCTCCTCGGCGTACAGCGCGCGGGCGGCCTGGATGACGGCGTCGGCGGTGGCGTAGGTGTCGTCGGTCAGGCTGTCGGCGAGGTCGACGGGGAGCTTGGCGGGGTCCTCGGCGGACGTTTTCTTGCTAATGCGCAGGGCATTCTGGGCGAGGCGGTCGACGGAGATGCCGTAGGCGGCAGTGAAGGCGTGGGCCTTGGCCTTGCGGGTGCGCTCAAAGAGGGTCGTGGACTTGGCGCCGGGCCGCTTGGTGACGACGGCGGCGCCGGCGCCGGCGCCGTTGCTGTGGTCCTTGTCCCCCGCCTTGCCGTTGGCCGCGCTGCTCTCGGCCGCCAGCTCGCGCAGCTGGGCGGCGTACTGGAAGTTGAGGTAGTCTTGCAGCTCCTGCAGCTCCTCCATGGTGGAGGCCTGGCCGACGAGGGCCTCGAAGACGGGGTCGTCGACGCGGTGGGACGAGGCGCGCAGGCTGTCGTAGGTCTTGTCGAGCGAGTTGCGCTTCTCGATGAGCGACCGGAAGCGGATGTCAAGCTCGAGGATGCGCCACAGGTCGTCCTGGTTGAGCAGCTTCTCGGCGCTGACGTCGTAGTCGCCGCCGTCGTCGCGGTCGTCGCGGCCGTCGCGGCCGCTGCGGCGCGGCTTGGCGTGGATCAGGTAGTCCTTGCGGTGCTGGAAGACGTAGGGGACTTCGACGTCGTCCACGACGAAGAACTCGAGGACTTTGCCGACGGCCTTGCTAAAGGGCTCGTGCAGGCTCTGGGGCAGCAGCTTGGTGGGCCACATGAGGTTGATGACCCAGCGAGCCTCCTCCTTGAACTGCTCGGGGGTGATTTGCAGGTTGCGGAAGGGCTTGCGGTCGATCTGGAAGCGCTCGGGCTCGTCGGTGTAGCGGATGGCGTTGTCGCTGTCGGTCATGAGCTTCTCCTGCAGCTGGGACGGCTCGAAGACGTCCTTGAGCTCGATGCCCTGCTCGCCGAGGTCGCGGTCCTCCTCCTCGTCCTCAATCTCAAAGACCCACGCGTAGTCGCCGCCGTCGCCAAAGATCTTGTCCATGTCGTCGAGGGCGTCCTTGTCGAGGCCCGTGGTGTCGATGACGCCGCCAATGAACCGCTCGCGCGGCCGGGCCACCTCCAGGTCCTCCTGGCGCCGCAGGCGCTCGTCCTCGTCCTCGGGGAAGTCCTCCTCGATGAAGTCGTCCATCTCATCGACGCCGCGGTGGGCCGGGCGCGCATAGCGGCCGGCGGCGGCGGCGTCGTCGTCATCCTCGTCCTCTTCGTCGGAAAAGATCTTGGCCAGGTCGGGCCGCTCGCTGCGCGGGCCGTCCTCGTCGCGGTGGCCGCGCTTGAGCCGCTTGAACTTGGGCTGCGCCGCGGCCTGGCGCTCCCAGTCGGGGCGTGACTCGCCGATGAGGTCCAGATCCTCCTCGTCCAGCTGGGCCTCCTCTTCGCGCTCGGCCCGCCGCCGCTTCTTGCGGCGTTTGCGTTCGCGGCCGGTGTCGTCGTCGCCATCGTCGTCGTCCTCTTCGCTCTCGTCGACGATAAAGCCTTCGCGGATCTGGAGAGAGACGATGCGTTAGTCACAGGATACACAAGATGCCACATGGGACGACAAGAAAAGACAAAGGACGAAACTACAGCACCTTGGCGGCCTCTTCTTCGTCGTCGTCGTCGTCTTCCTCCTCGCTC